ATGCCTGGAAGATGAGGTGGCACCTAGTAAGCACTCAATAAACACTGGTGAATGGATGGATGGCAGGTTGCTGGAGAACCTGACACCACCTGTGGCTACAGTGACATCAGACACCCAGCGTGACGGACAGCACGAAGCACGGCATTAGACACTTCCTCAGCGGCCACCCTGAAGAACACTCAAGTTGGGGTCTGTGCTCAGGTGCCACTGCTTTTCTGTCCTATGACACTGATTGCTGTGTCCTGCTTTGTGTAGGTTCCAAACGTCGTGATTGTGTTTGTGCCCCCCTCTCTGACACTCCTCGCCCAACCATCACAGAATCCTGGTATCCTCCGATCCTCCACCTGTGAAGCCCACATGGGGGTCCGCTCCTCATGGCCCTCTGGGCTCCTGCTTGGATTTGGCAGCTGCCTCCACATGGTCTCTTCGCTGTCACGCTTGGAAAACCCCTCGTGCTGCCCCCGCTCAGCATTCAGAGGGATCCTGCGACACCATGCGTCTGATCTGGCCCCTGCCCTGCTCAAAATCCTCTGCAGGCTCACGGCTTATGCAGAGTGGATGCTGAAGTCCTTCCAGCAGCTTCTGAAGTCCCTGAACCCGGGACTCGACACCCTGTGTCACCGTACCCGGTGTCTGTGCACCTCTCTGACACACCACGGCGCTCAGCTGCCCGGCTTTCCTGCTCCTGCCTCAGATCTTTGCATGAGCCCTGCCCTCCGCCTCTTTTTTCTTTTTTATTTTTTTATTTTTTTTATTTTTTTATTTTTTTTTATTTTTTTATTTTTTTTATTTTTTTGACAGGCAGAGTGGACAGTGAGAGAGAGAGACAGAGAGAAAGGTCTTCCTTTGCCGTTGGTTCACCCTCCAATGGCCGCCTATCTGCACCGCGCCTATCCGAAGGCAGGAGCCAGGTGCTTCTCCTGGTCTCCCATGGGGTGCAGGGCCCAAGCACTTGGGCCATCCTGCACTGCACCCCTTGGCCACAGCAGAGAGCTGGCCTGGAAGAGGGGCAACCGGGACAGAATCCAGCACCCCGACCAGGACTAGAACCCGGTGTGCCAGCACCGCAAGGCGGAGGATTAGCCTAGTGAGCCGCGGCCCCAGCCACCCTCCGCCTCTGATGCTCTTCTCCCAGACGTCCACGAGCTCTCGGATGTCCCCTTCTCACTGACCACTCTCTTCTTCCTTGGCCGTCCTGTTTTAAGTGGCTACTCCTGTCTCTGGCATTCCCTTGGTCTGCTATATTTTCCATCATCTGTCATGCGTGTACACATACACACACACACATTCACATCTTTACTCAACATCTGCTTCCCTGACTGATGGGAAGGATTTGCATCTGTCTGGTTCACTGATGCATCCCCAGTCTTCAGAACAATGGGCTAGGGACTGGCAATGTGGTACACTGGGCTAAGCCGCCACCTGCAACGCTGGCATCCCAAATTGGCATTTGAGTCCCAGCTGCTTTGCTTCTGATCCAGCTCCCTCCTAATGCCCCTGAAAGGCCATGGAAGATGGTCTAAGTACTTGGGCCCCTATCGTCACAGACATGGGAGATCTGGCTGGCGATCCAGGTCCCTGACTTCGGCTTGGACCAGCAGGGGCTGTTGAAGCCATCTGAGGAGTGGATGGAAGATCTCTTTCTCTCTCTCTCTGTCTCTTCTCCTCACTATGTCATTCTGCTTCTCAAATAAATAAAATAAAGCTTTAAAAAAAAGATCCTGGCATGCAGCTGCTTGTTAGCAAATATCTCTCGAAGAAATGAAGAAGGGACAAGATTGTTTGGACTACATATTTCCAAAAGCAAGAAAAGGTCTTCCTTCCTTCCTTTCCTTTTTTTTTTTTTTTAAAGATTTATTTGAAAGTCAAAGTTAAGGAGAGAGACAGAGACAGAGACAGAGACAGAGACAGAGAGAGGTCTTCCATCCACTTGGTTACTCCCCAGATGGCCACAACAGCCAGGGCTGGGCTTACCTGAAGCCAGGAGCCAGGAGCTTCTTCCAGGTCTCCCACTTGGGTGCAGGGGCCCAAGGGTTTGGGCCATCTTCTACTGCTTTCCCAGGCCATAGCAGAGAGCTGGATTGGAAGTGGAGCAGCCAGGACTTGAACCGGCGCATAACAGCCCCCAGGAAAGTCCCACAGTGGCTCAGGAAACCAGGAATGCTGATGTTTTATTTTTGGTCTTGTAGCTTTATCTGTTTCTCTTTCATAATTAGTTTGGAACAATTTAATACATCAGTTTACTAAGGATGTTAAGACAATTGGGTGCAGGAAAGAAATCCTCCTTTTGGGAATATAAGTCTCTCTCTGATGAAAAGATGAAATACGTGGAAAAGGAAGATTCTGCGTTTGTGCCGTGTGATCTGTGGGCATAAACACACGCACGCAGGCCGCGTGGAAGCTGCTTTGATGGCTCCTGCTTTGATGTCGTCCCCCTCATGTTTGCTTTGCTCATTCTTCCTTAGAAAGTGTTCCCTCCACATGCACACACCCAGGACAAAGAAATGTGCATCCAGGCATGTGCAGCGTCCCACACACCCCCAAGATTCATTTATAAAATAATCATGTTATAAATCTCAGCAGACAATCCAGTATTTGCCTAGCCAGAGTGACCTCTGCACCCAAGAGGAGGGGAGGGAATGGGCGAGAAAAAGAGGGAGGAGAGGGAGGGAGGGAGGGGGAGACCCCAGAGGCATCTGGTGCAGCTGATTGCAATTCTTCGTAAATATTCAGCCTGTGTGATGTGGTTGGGCTGTGTTTGAAACTGGAAAACGTACTCCTAGGCACACTCTGCGATGATAAGTGCTTATTTCCCAGAGCATTTGTTTAAATTAGTATGTCTTGATTAATTAAATTAATGGGTCCTGGTTTTCTTTGGGTAGAAGTGAGCCCCTGCCTTCCCCTGTCCCGCACCCTTCCCGCCTCCTCCCCACAACCCCAGTCCCAGCCTCCCGCCCAGGTGAGATCATCACAGTTTATCTTCTGTCCCTAAGGAAGACGAAGACTCTGCCCAGCTAGGACCTCCCCTTCGGACTCAGCCTCAGTTTACCCTTCACCGGCCACCTGTGGACAGAAGCACTTGACTGCTTCCTGGCGGATGCCATTCCCAAGCATCCAGGTGGTGGCAAGGTTGCCTGGACATACCAGCCAAGCCCAGAAGACTCTGGGATGCTTCCGCAGCACACAGGCCTCCCCGTGTGCCAGGCACCATTCCAGAGGCTTCCCCATCACCAAGTCTTCACTCCCCAGACCACCTTATAAAACAGGAACTACCGCTATCACCCCACTATATACAGAGGATCAGGGAGCTTTGTGTGTGTGGGGGGCTGCTGATTCTAATCAAGGCATTCAGTTCCAAAAAGAATATCAAAGACCTGCCCCCAGCTGTGGCCAGCTCAGATTCCCTGGGGATCTGCATTGTGCTCTTATCCACCTGAATTCCAGAGCTGGCAGGGCAGGATCTGGGCCTTTGAGGGGAGCCTCCCAACTGTTTGGCATGGACAAAAGCCACGAGGGTTCAAGGCAGTTTGCTTTCTTTCTTACCCTTGGCTGTTAGAAGGAGACCTTCCTTCCCCGGTGCTTCCCCCTGGAGAAACACAACAATCTGCCTGCCAAGAGGGGGCTCCTGCTGCAAAGAGAGACCCTGGACGATGTGCCTCTCTGAACTGTGGAAAGGAAGGGATGGGGTTTTCAGCTGCAGTGGGCAATTCCCAACTGGGCACACCCCGAAGGGGTCTCCTTGCCCCTTTTACAGCTGTGGATAGAGGTTCCTGAGTTAGGAAGAAGGGGGTTAAACTTTCCAAAGTCACCTTTCTGCATGTCTGGCTTCGAATTAAGTTTGGCTGGAAAAAGTCCCCAGGGGCTGTCCCTGTCCCACCTGTTCTCCCTTCCCGGCCCTCCTCCTCTGGCTCCAATGATGATGATGGATCCATAGGACCTCCTGGGTTCTCGGGGTTACTGTAACAATGCAAGATCTAAAATCTAAAATCCACCAGACATAAATGATGGGCGCTCCACACACAGTCTGAGTGCTGATGGGCGGCTCCCACGGAGGCCGGCACTTGAGGCCCGTGTTCCTCTCCTGGACTGCATGGGAGCCGTCCAATAAGAGCCTGACCGGCAAAAGGCTGTCCCATCCCCCGTCCTGCCAAAGTCAACCCTGAGCTTCCTCTTGATCGCCTCAGATCCAGCTGTACCATCAGGAGGCCCAGAACCAGTGAGAGCACCCACAGCCATACCCACCCAGCCCCGCCCCAGGCACAGATGAGGTCTCTGGGAAACCAGCCTGGCTGTGGAGCCAATCTCTGCTTCGCTGGGATTTGGAGGGACCTGTCCCTCAGGGCATAGTTAGCACACTTTCCCTGGGAAAAGCTCCTTGTAGAAGCGGAAAAACCACACACCGGCAGGCCAGGCTATGAAAAGAGGGGACAGCGATGGAGGCAGGTCTGCGTGCCTTCCTCCTGGAGTCCCTGCTGATCATCTGCAGCAAAGTCCCTGCTGGTGGTGCCTCCGGCCTTGACTTTCGCCTTTTGGATTATTTGTGTTCATTAGCATCCAAGCAAGAGGTGGCACCCACAACAACCCATTCTCCCAATGCCTGCCGGCCTTACAGAAGGAGGGGGGGAGGGCAGAGGAGGGCAGAGGAGGAGAGAGTCTGGAATCACTGCTTAAAATGAGGTTAAAAACGCCAGCCCCAGCATTCTGTTCTGCTATTCATCTCTTTCCAGGACACAAGTTGCCAGGAATTGGTTCAAAGACATTTCCAGGAAGACGGCGGTACTGACCCCTGCTCTGACCACGTGCCCTTAGGGGCACCTGGGGGATCAACTCTCCCTTCCTTTGAATAGCAGCTAATACCAGACACATGACGGCGAGCAAAGGCCACCTGCCTCTCCACGGCCCCAATGGCATAGGAGGAACAGCCCACGCAGACCAGGGCCCTAGGGTTCTTGGTGGCACCGTGGCAGAGGAAACGTCAGAGACAGAAACAAGACTCCGAGTAGTGATAAAATAAATCGCTTTAATGGGCTGCTTTCTGAGATGCTAAATTTTTTTTTTTTTGCTCTCAGCCCGCCAATTTCCCCTCCCTGAGGTTTGTTGGGGGTGCACTGGCTGAGCCCCCAGCCCCACAGGAAGCGAGGACAGTACTCTGACCCCACGCTCAGTCCCTCCAGGGACCTGGGCGTGCAAGTCCTCCCATTAGCAGACTGGAGTTAGGCGGCAGTCAGTCCAGAGACGCCGCGCTTCTGTGTGTGCAGGGCTGAGGTGGGGGAGAGGGGCTTCGCTTTCTGCTTCAGGTGTTTCTCTGGGGGGAGGGGACAGTCACTTTGGAAATTTCAACTCTGACCTTTACACAGAAAACACGTAGACGCTTTAGTATTATATACAGGGCAGAGGGGAGCGACACAGAGGGAAATTGCACTTAATTACAGTAGTTTACAGTTTATACCCATTGGACAAATTTACTTCTTTAAAAGAAATCTCGAGATCATCTGGGACGGAGCAGGGGAGGGAGTCTGTGGATATTTACAGTGTGTCTGGCTCAGTTCAACAGCGGGCGTCCCCCTCTCCTCGCCTCAGTAACAGATTCAAGTTTTCCCATCGGTTTGTTCGATGAAGGATCCCAGGGTGGACGTGACAGCTTTCTCTCTTCCTCTGTCTCCCGCCTCCAGGTCACACAGGAGGACTGGACATCCCGGGAGAGGCATCAGGACAATACTGCACAGAAAGGAAGCTGGGCTTCAGCCGGCGCCTCCTGAGCGTGCGCAGGACGTCGTGTAGGCGCAGGGACCTCTCCCACGTGCTGGGCAGGTCACTGGGCTTCTCCATGACAGCTGCCCGGAGGGTGACAGTGTGGAAAACAGGGTCCTTGTTGCTGGGCACAAAGTGAGTGATGTGTGGGCATCACCAGGCTTGCAGGGGACACTGCAGAGAGAGAGGGGAGAGAGCTCAGCTGTGTGCATTCGGTAGGGTCATGGGTCATGAGCCAAGGGAGCTGCCCCCCAACTCAGGCAGCAGGGAAGGGGGCTCAGTGCTGGTCCCTGTTCTGCAATGCTGGCCCTGCAACATCTACTTCCGTTAGGGAAGTCTTGGAGCTGGCTTTCCTAGACACTTCGGAAGACAGAAGGGAATAGCTGAAGATCTGGAGGGTCTCATCACTGGTGAGCTTAATCCTGAAGCTGGGCTCCACTTTCTCGGACGGTGATTTTTACAGGGTGCTCGTGTGGTTGCAAAGGCAGCTGGGTGGAAGCAGGGTTTCCGAGTTCCCCAGACCGCCACTTCCCAAACTTACATGGAGCCAAGACCGTTCCCAGAGAACCCATTAAAATGTAGCCTTTTGATTCGGATTCAACGGCCTGGGGCAGGCACAGGAAGCTGCAGTTCTAATAACCTTGATCAGCACTGTGCCAAGGCTGCTGAGCTCGGAGCAGCAAGTCCAGGAGCCCGTGAGAAAACCGCCACTTTCTCCAACTCCCCGGCAGGGAAGCCGCTCTGGAACTGCAAGGTGCATTCCGAGGTTTCTGACCATGGGGGACCAGGGGAAGGGTCCTGGGGCTGTCCTGCCCAGTGGGCCAGGGGCTGGAGGCCCCGAATGGCTGGGAAGCACTCTGCCAAGAACCACAGCGCCCTCAGGGACCCTCCAGTCCCAGAGCCTGCCCCTCGCTCCTCTGAACATCGTGAACACCGTAGCTCTCCTCCTGACTTGCCTTGGTCTCTTCCCTCCCTTTCACTTGGGTCAGCCCTGAAGATTCTGTCTTAAGGCTCGGGGGCTTCTCTCAGATTGTTCCCCACCCAACACACACACGCTCCTACCACTATCACCTCATGAACCAGGGCTGCCAACCACAGCCCGACAGGAAGGGACGAGCGTGTCCATTTTACAGATTAGGTAAATGAGGCTCAGAGAGTTGGTGAACTGTCCCAGAGTTCAGAATTGGGAGGCTGTGAGCCAGAGTCGAACAGTTCCCAGCAACCCCTGGCCGTGTTCCCGAGGTGCTCTGCGGTCAGTGTACCCCCTACTCAGCGTGGTGCTCTGGGTCAAGCCTCAGGCCTCAGTTTCTCCACCTGTAAAACGGAGGCTGCCGTGGATTAGACGAGGCGATAGACAGAAGTCCTTAGACTGGCGGTCGGCACCAGCAGGCCCTGCTACTCTCGGGGGGCGGGCCCGAGCCACGTGCTTACGTGAGGAGCGAGGTCACTGACCCTTCTACATTCTTGAGGCTGTGGTCAGGGCCCCCTGATGCCCGCCCTTTGCCTCCTCTTCCTCCCTCCGCCCACCCCCATTCTCAAGTCTCTCTGCCTGCCACTCTCGGCCTTTCCCAATTTTCAGATTTCAGGTGGAGGAGAGAGAAAATGGCTTGTGACCTTGCAGGTTTCAATAGAAGAGCAAACAAGAAGAGCAGATAAGGCGACGCCAGCAGGATTCTATGGCCTGTCGTTAGGGATGGGCTTCCCAGCTATCACATGTTTGCTCACATAATAAAATGGTGGCAGGGCCCGAAATGTTGTCAAAGGGACTAGAGTTATTTGCCCCCTTCAGAGTCTAAACACAAACATCTGATAAGGGGTGCACTGGGGGCCCTCGGAGCTAGGGGCCCAGCACCCCAGCCCCGCTCAGCCTGGCCCTGAGGATCCCTGAGCGCCTTGGTCTGAGACAGCTGGCAGAGGAGGGCTCCGCCCCATCGTCTGGGACAGGAGGCCCTACTGTGTGCCAGGGGCCGTGCTGAGGGCTTTGCACACATCCGTGCCTTTAATTCTTCCACGGCTGTCATTTATTCATTTCACATCGCTGGGGCTCGGGGCTGCAGCTGCAAACGAGATCTCCACCACCTCACAGAGGCCACTTCCTAGTCAGGGATTTGAGCAGAGCACAAATAAGCCGGTGTGCCTGTGTGCACAGAGAGGAGCACGCCACAGGGCGGCGAGCGCTGTTAACCTGAGGGAAGAGGGCAGCACCAGGGGAGGGCCATCGGGGCAGGCCTCGAAGGCGGCAGCGTTGGAGCAAGCAGGCAAAGCCGGCAGGAGGGAGTGTCCGGGCCAGAGGCTGCAGGTGCAGGTGCCCCGGGGCCGCTGCGGTGCAGCCAGCCAGGCACGAGAGTGGCGACACTGGCAGCGTGCTGATCACACACCAGTCTCCATTCACGGAAAACTACCAGGAAGATTCACGCAGGGAAAGATCGCTCTGGCCGCCGCGGAGCAAGGGCAGGAGCAGGAAAAAAAGTTCAGGGCCGCGGAAGGAGAAGAGCAAGACAAGCAGGGACTTGGGCTTGGCTGAAGACAGTCCACCGGAAGTGGTGGGGAATGGTCAGATGCAGGCTGTACGTCAAAGCCCTCCCCTCCCCCAGCCAAACCTGCCAATGCCCTGCCAGTGTGGGGTGCAGCAAAAGACCCAGAGCGACTGAGGGGCACTGTCACTTCCTAAGAAGGGAGCGACTCGGGCAAACCGCGGAGCTCCTATCTCAGCTACATGCGATTTGGAAGGCTTATGAGATCTAGGAGGGACTTCAACGCTTCCTGGAAGATGGGATTAAAAGAGGACACCCATCTTCCACGAACATGTTGAAATAACCTCGCGCTCGGCACACATACGGCCCTGCCACAGATGCACCAGGTTCATGAGTGGGCACTCAGTGGGCAGGACTGGCATGGGGACAGGATTATTGATCCAGAGCCAGAGGACTGAAGGAGACCCCCCCGCCCCCAGGCGTGAGCACAGGTGAGAGGAGGCCGAAGAATGAGCCCTAGGGCCGTGCAGCTCCCACCCGCTGGGAAGTTGAGCTGCCGGCTCAGCGGACGGGCAGTTGCCAGTCGTGCCACAGGAGAACCGGGAGCGGCAGTGTCCCATAACCCAAGGGTCAAAAGCGGGAAGTGACTGGCTGTGTCACAGATGGAGGCTGAACAGGGAGCATTGGATGCAGGGAGGCCGGGGTCAGGGAGTGGGACCCCGTGCGGTTCGAGGACAGAGGCCATCGGCAGGAGGACGTGGCCGAAGCCAGTGCAGGTAACTGTCTTCTGATACTATGAACCCAGGGAAGACGGCGGTAGCTCTGCTAGTGAAACGTGATGACTGTGCCTCCCACGTCACAGATGAGCCGAGTGGGGCTGAAAGAGGCACTGAGTGACTTAGCAAAGCCTGGGCTGCTAAGTCTCTCCTGGACCACCTGCTTCTGCCTTCCGAGTGGGGCAACGTGGGGACAGAAATGCTCCTTGTCATTTGAAAACCTCCTCCGCAGGCTCTCCACACACTCAGGGGAAGCTGAGTGGGAGCCGGTTCCGCTGCCTGGGTATTCCCCAAGCAAAGTGGTGACGAGTCCTCTGGCAATGAGTCCTTCCAACAAGCAGGTGCAAAACCATCCTCCTCCTCTTTGGGCAGGTAAAGATGCTCAGACGCTTTGCTGAGGCCGTATAGGTAGAAACTGGGGGACTCTTGTGCTGGCACCTGCCTGACTCCCAGGTCAGTGCTCCTGATCCTCGCCTCACCACCCCGGGGGGAGGAAGGCTGGGGGCGGGAGCTGCCAGGGGTTTATGGTGAGGCTGCTCAACTGCAACGGGTCAGCACCCTGGCCTGGCGAACCCTCTGGGGGTCCTCTCTTGCCCTCTCTATAAACTAGGAAGTGAAGCAGTGGGCAGAGAAAGTTGTGGCAACAGCAGTCAGCTCAAAGCCTGCCCACACTTGTTCTTACGGAAGTCAGGGCTCGCTGTGGTCTTGTCTCCAGCGGGGAGGGCGTTGCCATGCAAGAGCTCGGGCACAAACCCACTCTGATGGTAACTCGCTCGCACCCCAGCGCCGAGGACGAGAGGCGGGCACAAGCCCTGCAAAGGCCACAAGGCAGTGGCTGCAGGAGGATTCTTGGCAGCAGACAAGTCCCAGCCTGGGGTTCCTGAGCCGCCATCCCCAAGGCCCCGAAGGCATGTCTGTGTTGACAACACAGGCACAAGTTCAAATCCTGGCTTTGGCCTCCTGCCTGTATAACCTTGGGTCATTGTTATGGGTGCTTAAAAATAGATCCTGGAAGGTGAGTGGTGGTTAGCGGATTTGGAGTAAGAAGGAAGACTACAGCCTGGAAGTACAGCCCCGGAATCTATCATCTCTGTCAACTTGACCACACCTACCCCTCCCCCATCTCAGATTCTGTTCACTGCTCTGTAAATCAGGCCTAAAAATATCTACCTTGCAGGACGAATGAGAGAGTTGGCAGGGAAGGTAAGATAGAGAAGCAGTTGGAGTGCTGCCTGGAAAGTGGGAGTCCATCTGAAAATACTGGTTCTGAATTCATACGTCTGTCCATCCCGTATTTCTTGAACAGCTACTATAGCCCAGGCATTTGGCTAAACACAAAAGAGCTCATGTGCTTTTGAGAGGCCCCCCACTGCTTGCTTTGATCCTGGGAGGTAGGTGACAGAGTACTTGTGTGTCAACAGGAAAATGGAAACAGGAGTCTGGAGTCCTGGCCCAGGAGGTGGGATGCACTTGAGAGGCGTCCTAGCCCTCAGCAATGTTATCCTCACAACCTCCTCTGCCCACAGGTGGACCTAGCAACAAGCTAAGTAGCGGAGGAGTGGGAGGAAGGAGAGACGGCTGTCTCCCACGCGATCCCACACAGAAGGGACAGGGATGGGGAGCAGCAGATACCCCATTAGGTACTTCAAACATTTTGTGGAGGTGGGATTGCCCCCATTCATAGGTGCAGACACTGCGTCTCGCCGTGGAGAGGCAACTGCCCAAGGTCACGTGGCAGGGAGTGAGGGAGCTGGGAGGGGCCCAGGGCTGTGGGCTTATCCTGTCACCTTTGCCCACGATGGGGGCTCTCTGACCCCAGCACGGGGCGTGCTGGTTCCCGCTTCGGTACAGCCACCAGTGTTCTGAGGAGCCCTGCCCAGCGGTGTTCCACTCTGTTCAACACAGCGGTCCCCGCACGCATTTGACCAAAGACTCCTTCTCTCTCCGCACCCCAGCTGCCCGTGGATACCCAGCGGTGGTCTTGAGATCTCTTTTGGAAGATCGTACTTTAAAACAAACAAAAGGCAGAACTGCGGGCAGATCTCTTTGGGGTATCATGTCTAAGCCTTAGGAGCAGAGTCTGCACAAACAGTGGACTACCTTTGCCGTCAGGAGCGTGCCCCCCCTTTCATGTCATTCTGCCTTCACTAGTCCTTCTTCAGATTGCAGGAACGAAGTGTCCCGCTTGGAATACAGCACCTGGGCCCAATTTCTACTCCTGTCCTTGATCATGGGAGCCAAGGAGAGCAGCAGGAGTTAGCAGGGGAATTTCAAAGCTGAGTCCTGGACGGCAGGTGCTGTGCAGGCGGAAGGAGCCCAGGATGTGGAGTCAAAGGCCAAAGTCTGGAGGTCCAGGTCTAGAATTTATCACCCGTGTGACCTTGGGCAGGTCACTCACTATCTCTGAGTCTCAGTTTATTTCTTTGTACTTTGAAGGTGGCAATAAAATGATGTGATCGTGTCCCTGAGAAGCATAAGCTGCCAAGTGCTACATGAGTGTTTTGGGTTTTAATCCCTCCTAAGCAAGCATAATCCTCCTCATCAAAGAAATGCTTCTACTGCCGGATCCCTGCCATGTCCGAGCACTTGGGGTGGTTCTAGAAGGCTGCCCGTCAGCTTCAGGATCGGCTGCCACTCCGTGCAACGGAGGGGAGAAGCCAGCCGGGGGCTGCTGGGCAGCGACTCTGAGAGCATCTTGAAGCATTTTGATTAAGAGACCATTTCCTGAATCCAGAGGACTTGTTTCAGCAAGCAAGCATCAAAGTCAACTTGGGAAAGACAGGAATAATTAATCACGGTGCTGTCTGGGGCTGACTGAGCGGCAGATGGATTGATAAACCTTTCAAAGGGGACGGTATTCCCAAGCAGGGCCGCTGCGCCTGGCTGCCCCCCGGATTGAGATTTGTGAGCACAGATAAATGTTTTCCCTGCTCACTACAAAGAGTGGGAAATCGCACGGGAGGCGGAGGGGAGGGTGGTGGGGGGTTGTCCTTTCATCTTCCATTGGGTGATTGGGTGAGAGAACAGGGGCCAGGCAGGTCCCACACACCTCGCCCTCTGCCCCCGACTCCAGAGCCTGGCCCGCCAGGCTGTGTGCATGTTCCAGTGCCCAAGTTGTGCCAGGTGCTTAATCCACCTGGGCCGGCTGCATCTTTAGGAGAAGGACACCTTACAAAGCTCATTTTACAGATGAAAAAACAAAGGTTCAGAGAGGCCAAGGTGACCGAGAGAATGGCAGGACCGAGCCTAGAACCAGCTGCTCCACCATGCGCTACGGCTGGGAGGAGATGGGGGGAAGGGCAGAGCAAGCCCATGAACGAAATGACCCAGAAACACATGGTGGTGGATGGAATGTGATTGGCAGGGCTCAGATGGGAAAAAGGCCATCACTGAGACCAAATCCTGCTGAGAGCCTCTGATATGAAGTTCAAGGCTGTTGCTTACTTATCTAGGAATCGATAAAGGCCAAACAGTTCCCACATTGCACAGACCCCAGCTGCTAAAAGGTCTTATTGTGTTGCTCTGGAACCGTGTTCAGACATCTCGTCCTGCTTTCTAACTTCCTGTTTTCTAACTCAGTGTCCCCCTTGCAGCCCGCCTGCCCAGGAGACAGCGATGAGCCTGGCTGCTGGCCATCTGTTTCTATGGCTTTGTCACCTGGACAAGGAGGTGGGAATCAGTCATCCGGCAAAATGATGACTAAGCCGCTAGATTCCCCACTTTCAGCACACCAGGAAGTGGACTCCAAGCTTCCTGATAAAACACCAGGCGAATGCGGACCCTGGAAAGACCTGGCTGCTTCCTGGGGAGCCCCCATGGAAGCTCCCTCGGAGTAGACAGAGTTCTGGGTCCAGCAGGGGTCCTGGCCGGGGAGGGTCAGCCCTGGGGCTGACTCTCTACTCTCTCACTACTTTGTGGACCTGCAAGGATCCTTCCTGCAAAGCATGGAACTCAGCAGGGGGTCTACCCACCTCCCCCAGACCTCTTTCCTAGTCATCAGTCGATCACTGGGCACTCACTACGCATTCTCAGTGCCTAACAGCTGCACGTCATCCAGGCTCCAGTAACCATCAGACTTCACTGCTCACGTAGCACGCCCGCTAGTCTTTCTGCAAGTAACTCACAGAGCCTTGGGAGGGGGCCCCCAGAGAGACACGCTTGCTGCCTCTGTGCCATGTCCACAGCCTTGAGTCATCACCCCCAGCCCCGGACCCGTCTTGCCCGCATTACCTGTTTGCTGGAAGACATGTTGGTGAGCGTACTGATGCTGCTGGTGTCTGAGACCACCATGGCCGACGGAAACCGGGAAGTATGGGAATACTGGGGGGGTTCCTGCTTGTGTGTGTACACTGTAGAGACAGAGTGGGGACAAAGTCAAGGTGCACATCTAGGCACACACCCCCACACACACCTAGTCCCCTCCCCCTGACCCTCCACATAGCTCCTCTTTCCCTGGGTAGATGGAAGTGGGTGATGGTCACCTGTGCAGGGGTGGTGCAACGTGGCTAAATCTGCGCTCCTTAGTCAAGTGACTCAACCTCAGTCTCCTCATCTATAAAATGGGGATGCTATTTGTTGCCGGCTTACAAGACGCTATGCTTAAAGTACTTTGTACCAGGTTAATAAATAGCCTTGCCTAGTGTAAATGCTCCCCCGACCCTCTATAAAATATAGGTGTCAAGGCTTCAGCAAGTGCCCCGTGGGCACGTGTGGTGCCTTTGAGATTTGAAGCCTAAAGGAGTTCTATGTAACGGGCAGATGTGAATTCCCTGGCCAAGACAAGAATGCCAGGTCTCAGGGCAGCAGCTGTCGACTGAGCAACAATTTCAATCAGACACGGGATAATTGGTTGCATCATTCTGAGCTGATGCAGTTTGCATAAAATGGTACCAAAGCTTTATGACATCACAGCAGCTTTATGACATCACAGAGACGTAAGACAATGGCCCAAAGAAGACTGGATTGAGAATGAAATTCTGGGAGCACAGAATTTGAGTTTCAGTGGTTTTTAGTGCTTCTCCACAAGTCTGGAGCTTCTGCATGCCTGGGAGCTGTCCCTGAGCCTCGTGCAAATTCCAGTCACATGACCAAATGACAGATGCACGTGGGCGCTTGGTGTGACGCAGGGCCCAAGGGATCCCAGGACACGGAGCCCACCGAGGAGTCCTCCAGTATCGACCAACTGGGCTGAAGGTCACGGGCCTGCCTCTGCTTGCCCTTCCCATGCAGGGAGGCTGGGCACTGCCTGGTCCACGGCCTCAGCTGTCCCACCTAGGCCTGGCCACCGAGGGAGACTGCCCGGGGCAGTGGGCAAGTGGGAGTCACACTGCCAGGCTGCGGCAGATCTCAGAAGCTGCAAAAACGTGACTGGAATGCGAGCCGGGGCTCAGGAAGCAGCTCCCCTGCCTGCACGGGGGACTGAGCCCTAGGGACGAAGACAGACAGAATCTGCTGTGCTCCCTCAGCGTGCTACCTGCTGGAGTCAGGAGTCCAGTCTGGCCCCAGGCTAACTCCACACCGCACACTTCCCTTTGGTCCCGAAGAAGAGGAGAGCACAGGATGTCCGCCTGCTCCAAGGCTCCTTCCCAAGCTCCTAGGCTGGGGTGGGGGCCATGGCTGGAGGACCAGGGGCCTGGGGTTCAGGATGGAAGGCAAAAAACAGGTAGACAATGGGGAGGTGCAGAAATGGGGAGCAGCCTCTGTGTCAGGAGCAGACACCCAGGATGACACACAGGTGGCGTTTTGCACCTAGGTCCAGGGCTCCTGGTTAGAGATGTGTGTGGTGGATAAACTGGAGGGCAGAGTTACTCTAGAAAGTCTTCTATTTTAGGCAGGCAAACAGGATGCCAATTAAAGGGCAACCTTGATTATCTGGAAGTAGCTTTTTGCAGATTGAATTTTGGATTCAAAAAGCTAAGTTGAGGCTCGTTGGGAAAGGGTGCTTTGGCCTATTGGTGATGTCTCTTCCCTGGGTGCTGGAATGGCAAACTGGCATGTGCTCCACCTGCCATCTGTCTCCCAGCCCTTTACAGGTGGGCCCATGCTGCTGCCACACCAAACCTTGCCCTGGGCACCTGAGGCTAGGCAAGAGGACTAGAACGGGCACAACAACATGGAAGAATTACGGTTGAGAAATTGACTGGCTTGGTTGTTGGCAGGGAGCAAGCCTGCTCCTTTCTGAGGAAATGCACAACCAGGGAGGGAAGTGGCGGTGAGGGGGGGAGGGGCTCCATCCCCTGGCCCGCTCGTGTCCTTACTGTGCGAGTTCTGTAGCTGGGTCACAGCAGCCATGAAGGGCTGCTGGGCCATGTGGCTGCCGGGGCTCTGCTGCATGAGGGGCTGCTGGTGGGGGCTGTGCAGCTGCTGGGAGAACTGCACGGGCTGCAAGGCTGCCAGGCTGCCGGCCACACTGTTGATGACGGGGACGCTCTGGGCTTGGGACGAGTTGAGGCCTGTGGGAGCAAGAGGGAGAGGTCAGCAAGGCTGCATGCGAGTCTGTGGAGCGGGGAGCGGCTGGTGACACCGCCGAATGCTGGGCTGAGTGCCTGAGCACACCATCATTTGGGAAGGGACTTCAGGGGCAGAGACGCAGAGGCTGGGAGAGATCAATCAGCTTGCTACGAAGTCACGGGGAGCTGTGGCACGGACCTGACCACAGCCTGAGAGTCTCCCAGAGGCATCCTGTGACCGCCCAGACTCAGCCCGGGGAAAGCTGACTCTACCTGCCCACTGCCCCCATGCCACACTGGGCAAAGCTGAAGCTGGGCACCCTAGGGCACAGCGCACTGCCCGGATCTATGTTTCCAGTAGAGGGCAGGAGGGTGCAGGCACCTGCAAATTGATTGACAGCAAAACTACTCCCACAATCCTGGGAGTCTGGAGACTCTCATTAGGAGGCTGTGCCAAGACCCTGGGAAAGGTTTTGAGTCCCTCAGGAGCTGGGAACTCAATCTGGGCCTCCAACGTGGGCCCCCAAGTGTGCACATTGGCAGGAAGCTGGAATCAGGAGCAGAGCTGGGACTGGAACCCAGGCTGTCCCATTCAGGATATGGGAATCCTGAGTGGCATCTTCACTGCAAGACCCTGCCCCTGAAATGGGCAGATCGCATCTGGTAGCATCAAGAGGCCCAGGTCTTGGACGGGGGAAGCAGTAGATTACAGGTTGGCCCTTGGCAGTTGCAGGCTTGCCATCTCTGGCACTGTGGCTATCCCCTGAGCCTCTGGACACTGCACACCGCCCCCATGAGGACTGGGTCCCCTGGTACCCAAGCCTTTTATCTTCTCCCTGGGCAGGACCCTGGGGAAGGCAGCTGAGGTTGGGTTGGAGTGAGGACTAGAGGACCAGGAGATGAGAAACTCGGACCGCTGTCCAGGAACTGCCAATGTTCCTTTGTTCTTGCTTTCAGGAAAGGGGCGAGGGGTGGAGAATGGGATGAAGAAAGAAATCCAGGAGAAGGCCTCTGTCTGGGCAGATGCAGAGGGACACCTCGAGAGCCTTCGTGAAAGGGAGCCGGCTGCACCAGCAGCTCCCAGGGAAGTCCACTCGCTTCCCCCCAGCCAGCATCTCCTGGCACCCTGCTATCCTGTTTCACTTCCACACCTCTCACTTAGCATCTCCCTGTCCTAGGAGCTAGAACTTGCTGGTCTCCCCCCCCCCCCCAGAAGCCATGGCTGCTGCCCTGTTTAGAAAATGTCTGTCAAGAAGAGCAAATTAGGGTCTGGTGCTGTGGCACAGCAGGTTAACACCCTTGCCTGAAGCACTGGCATCCCCTATGGGTGCTGGTTCAAGACCCGGTTGCTCCACTTCCAGTCCAGTTCTCTGCTATGGCCTGGGAAAGCAGTAGAAGATTTGGGCCCTTGCACCTGTGTGGGAGACCCAGAAGAAGCTCCTGGCTCCTGGCTTCAGATCAGCACAGCTCTGGCCATTGCTGCCATCTGGGGAGTGAACCAGCGGATGGAAGACCTCTCCTCTGCCTCTCCTTCCCTCTCTCCGTCATTCTGACTTTCAAATAAATAAATAAATCTTTAAAAAAAAAAAGAAGAAGAAGAGTAAATTATCCTGCGCAGAGCACATGGCATTTGAAGACTGAGTTTTTTGGGTTTTAGTTTGCTTGTTTAGATTCATTTTATTTGAAAAGCAGAGTGACAGGGAAAGAGGGGAGAGACAGAGAATTTTCAATCAACTGGTTCAATCCCCAAATGGCCACTCTAGGGTGGGGCTGGGCCAGGCCAAAGCTAAGAGCCAGGAACTCTATCCGGGTCTCCCACATGGGTGGCAGGAGACCAAGTACTTAGGCCATCATCTGCTGCTTTCCCAGGCACATTAATAGGGAGCCAGATCGGAAGCAGAGTGGCCCGGACTCAAATCGGTACTCTGATGTGGGATGCCAGCAACGCAGGCTGCAGTTCAAACCCGCTACACCACAGTGCTGGCCCGGAATCATCCGGGAGAGCTCCGAAAGAGACACACACTCCTGGGCACCGCCCAGGACTTGATGAGTCAGCACCTTCGCTCTCTTCCAGGATCCAGGCTGATGTCATCCTGGCTCAGCAGGGGTGTGGGTGTTGGCCTCTTCCTTTGTTTTTGGGGGCTGGGTGCCTGCTTCAGTAGCCTGCCACCCAGTCCAGCAGGAAAGCAGAGAGTGAGGACTGGGCACCGCCAAGTGATGTGCTGTCCCTGTCGCTTCCTCTGTGGGCCCTGCAGAGCTGGGGCAGGACCCCTGAACCCCACAACTTCTGAATCAGCGAAATGAGGATGCCACAACCAACTCTCCATCCCAGCACCTCACAGGCGGGGCCACTGTGTCTCCACCAAGCTCCTCACCCTTCATTCTCTGTCCACCCCAAGCATGTATGCAACACACACCCGCCCCTCTGTGGCTGGGACACACTCCAGTCTGGCCCATCTGCAGCAGGAGATGAAGGTCATTGTGAGAAGGCAGGGAAGCAGGGGTGGGGGAAATAGGAGGAAAAAACTAAAAACTAAGGACCAGCCGCAGGGAAAATGCTAGTCAGATGATGCCTAAAAAAGAAAGAACAGGTAACTGTGCCTTTCAGTGTGGGGGCCGGCGCTGTGGCACAGCAGGTAAAGCCGCCGCCTGCAGTGCCAGCATCCCCTATAGGTGCCGGTTCGAGTCCCGGCTGCTCTACTTCCAATCCAGCTCCCTGCTATGGCCTAGGAAAGCAGTAGAGGATGACCCAAGTGCTTGGGCCCCTGCACCCACATGGGAGATTCAGAAGAAGCTCCTGGCTCCTGGCTTCTGATAGGTGCAGCTCCAGCGGTTGTGGCCAATTGGGGAGTGAACCAGTGGATGGAAGACCTCTCTCTTTCTCTCTCTCTGCCTCTCCTTCTCTCTCTCCATAACTCTGACTTTCAAATAAATAAATAAATCTTAAAAAAAAAAAGCTTCTTGTGGGAAAAAGGAAGGTAAGTGGGGCACTCTGCGGGTTTGTGGATGGCGCTGGTTGTAGAAATACAGAAGTGGGATAGCTTATCCATGAGCCTTTTACTCGAATCTTCCAGAAGGCAAGCACGCTGTTTTCAGGTATCCTGGTACTACTAAGGTTACCACATTCCATATACCAGGGCCCCAGAGAAAAGGCAGTAAATTCAAAATCATTTTGTATTTTGTGAGTCCTCTAAAGGCTTCTCCATTCCCATTCTCCTGCAAAACCATCAGCAGAGTGCGTCCACTTCCAAGCAGCTAGGGGCAGAGCGAGAGCCACACTCACTCATTGAACACACTTGCGTGTCTCCTGTGTTCACTCCATTCTGCCCTAACACATGTAAGTCATCCTTTTCAGCTGCGATCCAGGTGCCATCTCAGGGACAGCAGAGGGAAGGAAAGGAAAAGGCGGGACGGAAACAGAGACAGCGCCACCGGCACCAGACACGAGGGAGGCCAAGAGGACAAGGAGGCAACACCAGGCCCAAAGCAAGAGACTCATGTCATGGGCCAGCGGCAGGCCTCCCGCAAGCCATTTCGGGACAGTTTCCAAGGGTCACGGTGATGCTTTCCAGAAGCCAGGACCTGCCCTGAGCTGTCATAGCGCAGCTGAAAATACACCGAACACTCATGGACACTGAGGCTCTCAGAGAAGGGGCAGGTGTCACAGCACAGCAGGCTGACCACAGCTTGGAACGCCCACATCCCAGATCAGAGTGTGGGTTCGAGTCCCAGCTGTTCTGCTTCTGACCCAAGTCCCGGCAAATGCACCCGGGAGGCAGTGGATGACAGCTCAAGTCCTTGAGTTCCTGCCACCCAGGTAGGAGACCTGGATGGAGTTCCTGGTTCCTGACTTCAGCGTGGTCCTGTCCCAGCTGTTGCAGCCATCTGAGGGGTGAATCAGCAGATGGAAACTTTCTCTCTCCCTCTGCCTTTCAAATAAATAAATAAATCTTTTTTTTTTTTTTTTGACAGGCAGAGTTAGACAGTGAAAGAGAGACAGAGAGAAAGGTCTTCCTTTCCTTTCCGTTGGTTCACCCCCGAAACGGCTGCCACGGCCAGCGCGCTGCGCCGATCCGAAGCCAGGAGCCAGGTGCTTCCTCCTGGTCTCCCATGTGGGTGCAGGGCCCAAGCACTTGGGCCATCCTCCACTGCACTCCCGGGCCACAGCAGAGAACTGGACTGGAAGAGGAGCAACTGGGACAGAATCCGGCGCCCCTACCGGGACTAGAACCCCGTGTGCCGGCGCCGCAGGCAGAGGATTAGCCTAGTGAGCCGCGGCACTGGCCTAAATAAATAAATCTTTAAAAAAATCAATAAGCAACCTCTTAGAAAGACAGCAACAGCTGGAGCCTGCTTCAGCCTCCCCACGGCCTGCACCGGCCCGTCTGCGGTGGGGCACAGCCCTGGTGCAGAGCAGCAGGGAGGCCCCAGCCTGCTCACCTGTCTGCAGGCACGTGTGCAAGCAGCCTAGTTGTCTTTAAAGTTTTCAAAGCCCAGAGACACTACGACAGCCTCCCTTGGGTCCTCCTGCAGTGCAACTTCAGCTCTGCTTATGGAGTCTGGAACACCACGCAAACTCCCCATTTAGGAGGAAGCCCGTCACACCTTGCTCCATCTTTATCAGCACGAAGAACCTTCTGGAAAATACACTGCATGCCGAGGGACAGGAATGAACACAAAAGCAGACAATGCTTTACACATTTATAGATTCCCTGTCATGTGATTACCTCAATAGGTCATTCTACAAAATAGGTATTTACAGGGATGGTGCTGTGGTGCCGCAGGTAAAGCCGCTGCCTGCGATGCCAGCACCCCTTATAGGCGCTGGTTTGAGTCCTGGCTGCTCTACTTCCAATCCAGCTCCCTGCTAATCAACCCAGGAAAGCAGCAGAAGATGGCCTAAGTGCTTGGGCCCCTGCACCCACGTGAGAGACCTGGAAGAAGCTCCTGGCTCCTGGCTTCGGATCAGTCCAGCTCCCTCCAATGCAGCCATGTAGGGAGTGAACCAGCGGATGGAAGACCTCTCTGTCTTTCCCTCTCTAACTTTGCCTTTCAAATAAATCTTAAAACAAACAAACAAACAAACAAAAAAACCAGTTATTTATTTGAAAGGCACAGAGACACAAAGAGCGACAGACAGAGAGGTCTCCTTCTATCTGCTGGTTCACTCCCCAGGTAGCAGCAACCAGGCTGGGCTGGGCCAGGCTGAGGCCAGGAACCAGGAACTTAATCCAGGTCTTCCAGGTGGACAGCAAGACCCAGCTACTTGAACAATCCCAGGGTGCACATCAGCAGAAGCGGAACTCAGGAGAGCAGAGCTGGGACTTGAACCCAAGCCTCTGATATGGAGCTCGGGCATCCCGGATGGCATCTAAACCCCTTTGTCCGCCCCTCAACAACCCATTTTACCAATAAGGAAATTGAGCCACATGACGGTTCAGTGATTCGACCCATGACACACAGCTATTGAACCGTGACTGAGATTCCAATCTATCCCATAATTTTCTCTTGTTTTAGGCTAAACAATCCAAGTATTGCTGAGGGGAGAGGTGAGAAACTAAAGAAGTTAAATCAAGTGCACGAGTCGTGGGTGAGATCCAAGGGGACCTCCCGCACTGCTTCCCACCACGCCAGCTGGCTCCCCGCTCTTCTCCCGGCCGCCGCATGTTCTGACCGATGAGGAACTTACTTTGTGCAATGGCCATGACTCCAGAGAGGGGGGTCATGATGAGGTTCTGAGACTGCTGGGGGTTATGGTGGGAGAGGCTGTGGATGTTTGTCAAGGTGCTGACGGGGGGCAAACCTCCTCCGGAGACTGAGATCTGCTAGAGAGAGGAAACAAGAACGGCGTAAGTGGACCAGAACCACCCAGGACACTTCCCGCGTGGCACAGCTAACTCCCTGACTCACGCGTTCACTCACTGACCATCAGTGAGCACCACAAATGCTCATGCGCTCTCGCGGCGTGCGGCCCCTGTTCTGCCTTCTGCGCGTTACGGGTGCTAGAGACGCATAACTGCTAAAAATAACTGCAGACGTGGGCTGGGGTGCCCCAGTGAGAGCAGGTTAGGGGCCAGCAGGAGCACGGGGATGCTCTTGCTGCTCCAGGATGCGCTACTCGTGCGTGAACTGAAACCACACCGCAGTCCCACGCAGTGGTGGAGACTTCTGTCGGTCCCATTTCACAGAGGGGTAAACTGAGGCTCAGAGTAGGCATCCGTGCTGCCAAAGATTCCGTAACTAGGCAATAGTACACCCGCTATTCAAACCCAGGTCTGTCTGACCCCAGAACATAAGTTTTGATCGGTTATGTAGGACTACTAAGGGCTGGGGACACCAGCCATGACTGGGGATCCTTTTCCAGATTTGTAAATGCAAATCCACCCCTCCCCCTTTGTTCATTCAAGGAACTGATGATGTAATGACAAAGCTATTACATGAGTCTTGAACACCCTCCACTCAGTTTCACCATTATATATATATATATATTTTTTTTTTTTTGACAGGCAGAGTGGACAGTGAGAGAGAGAGACAGAGAGAAAGGTCTTCCTTTGCCGTTGGTTCACCCTCCAATGGCCGCCGCGGCCGGCGCGCTGCGGCCGGCGCACCGCGCTGATCCGATGGCAGGAGCCAGGAGCCAGGTGCTTTTCCTGGTCTCCCATGGGGTGCAGGGCCCAAGCACCTGGGCCATCCTCCACTGCACTCCCTGGCCACAGCAGAGAGCTGGCCTGGAAGAGGGGCAACCGGGACAGAATCCGGCGCCCCGACCGGGACTAGAACCCGGTGTGCCGGCGCCGCTAGGCAGAGGATTAGCCTAGTGAGCCGCGGCGCCGGCCTCACCATTATATTTAAGACACAGTTTAGGAAGGAAAGCTACTGATTTTGTATATTCTCTTTCTGCCCATTTTTTAAAATTTATTCCTACTAGCGTCTTTTCCTCGCTGATTTTGTTTTCATGTTCCCAAGCGCCTGACTGTATCATGAGACTATAATGTTAACAGGGCCCCTCTTTCTTGCTGATAGCAATCTATCTTCATGTCTTAATACATTGGTTAGAACTTTCTAGGTAGTAAAAACAGTAGCAGCTGGGGCTGGTGTTGTGGCATAGCAGGTAAAGCCGCCGCCTGTAGAGCCGGCCTCCCATATGGGCACCACTCTGAGTCCTGGCTGTTCTACTTCTGATCCAGCTCTCTGCTGTGGCCTGGGAAAGCAGTAGAAGATGGCCCAAGTCCTTGGGCCCCCGCACCCGTATAGGAGACCTGGAAGAAGCTCCTGGCTCCTGGCTTCGGGTCAGTGCAGCTCCAGCCATTGTGGCCATCTGGGGAGTGAACCAGTGGGTGGAAGACCTCTCTCTCTCTCTGCCTCTACTTCTCTGTAACTCTGCCTTTCAAATAAATAAAACAAATCTTAAAAAAACAGTAGCAGCTGTAACAGATGCACTTGTTATGTTTCTGACATCATCAGAAATGTTTCAAATGTGCTCTGGTTAATTATAATTCTAAAGATGCTATCATTATTTTATTTTATTTTATTTTATTTTTGACAGGCAGAGTGGACAGTGAGAGAGAGAGACAGAGAGAAAGGTCTTCCTTTGCCGTTGGTTCACCCTCCAATGGCTGCCGCGGCTGGCGCGCTGCGGCTGGCGCACCGCGCTGATCCGAAGACAGGAGCCAGGTGCTTATCCTGGTCTCCCATGGGGTGCAGGGCCCAAGCACCTGGGCCATCCTCCACTGCACTCCCTGGCCACAGCAGAGAGCTGGCCTGGAAGAGGGGCAACCGGGACAGAATTCGGCGCCCCTACCGGGACTAGAACCCGGTGTGCCAGCGCCGCAAGGCGGAGGATTAGCCTAGAGAGCCGTGGCGCTGGCCAAGATGCTATCATTTTATATATACATTATTTTTCATAGTAGTTTCTTTTGTATAGTTTTATTTTTTTATTTAAAAAGTTATGCATTTATTTTCATTTTATTTGAGAGACAGAGAAAAAAATCTTCCATCTGCTGGTTCACTCCCCAAAGGCCTACAACAGCCAGAAGCCAGGAGCTCCATCCTGGTTTTCCACATGGGTGGCAGGGACCCAAGTGCTTGAGCCGTCACCTGCTGCTTCCCCGGGGGCTGAATGAGCAGGAAGCTGGGCGGGAAGCAGAGCAGTCGGAACTCAGACAGGGCTTTCCCACGTGCGAGTTGGGCGTCTCAAGCGGTGGCTTCACCACCACATCACATGCCTGCCCCACGTACAGTTTTCAACTAACTTTCCCAATTATTATTCAGCAACACCCCCCCCCCCGCCCCCCGCCCTGACACTGCGGCAAGCACCAGGACCCTTGAGAGGGGCTTTCAGAGTAATCCAGCTTCTCTGTTTTTCTGCCACCCAGGGCTCTTTCAGCTTTGACGGCTAACACCAGCACCCAGGTACCAGATACCCTGCCCTCTGGCCAACCCCACAGCCTCCAAGGTTAATTTGAAAAAAGAAAAGAAAGGAAAAGCCAAACAGGTTTGTTTGTGTTTTTCAAATGAGCATCAAGAAATGAGGTAGAGGTCACATGACCAAGAAAGAATTCCAACCGCATGGAACAGGAGAGAACCGGCCTGTTGGCCAGACTTGTTTTTCAGAGATGTCAGAGTCATAAAAAACAGCAGGGATCTGCCCTCCAACTGACTCCCTTGGGTAATGGAGTCCTTCGGGGATCTCTGGGCTGTTTCAACCTGGAGGCCAACGATTAAGACAGCCTGCACGCGTGGCTTCAGTTTGTCCAGTGTGCTCCCCAAGTGTGCTCCGTAGAGAATGCCGCCCACAGGGCAGGCCAAGGAACCAGTCCTCCAGCAAGTGGGGGCCGGGTTTACTGGAGTTCAAGCCCCGCCCACTTTCTGTGTTGGACTCCACAAAGTCCCAAGGGTACTGGGCACAGACTGGACAGCTGGGAGAGCCCAAAAGCCATCAGCGTGCGTCCCCCCACCCCGACCCACGGGGTTTCTAATCATTGCCCCTGCTTTGCAGTCTGGGAAATGGAAGCTGAGAAAAGTTAAACAAGGCTAGGCTTCTCATCATGAGGCCATGCTACTTGGTACTATGAAACTATCCAATACGTGCTTTTCCTAAAACAAAACAAACAAAAAACTGCAAACCTCAGCCTGACTCCTCCCCACCCCTTTAAAATCAAAATTTACCATTTGGGTACAGAGTATGGAGACTGGGGGAGGGAGCAACAGCACCACAGGGAGTGCTAACAGATTGGCTTTATTTCCACAATTCCCTGCAGGAAGATTCCCACCCCCACCTGACTGAAAGCCAGCCCTGAGACTGTCACTCCAGGAACAGGGCTTACCCCACCACGGAGCCACAGGGCCACCAGCCGTGCTCAGACCTGTCTGTGATGTTCTCACTCTCCATTTCCCAGACAAACAAAGCGATCGCTGCGCCCTCCCACTGGGAAATGACAGAATCAGGACCTGCACACCCGGGTTCTTTTTGAGCCACACTCCTCTCCTGCCTTGCCCGACCAAGCTCACAGGGACGTGTTACACATTAACAGAGAACAGACTCTTGAATTTGGGCATCCAGGGGTAGTGTCACATCATAGGAGCCAGGGTGTTAGGGACAGGTGAAAAGCTGCGCCTGCAAACAGGTTCCAGATGTTTGCTAACGTTTGAGGTGTGCTGGCTGGGTCAATCATCAATCCAGTAATATACGGCCCAGGCTGGGCAGTGCTGAGCAGAACAGGAAGCAAAAGGCACGTCTTCAGGCTGGGTCTGGAGCACCCTCAGCCTGGGGGAGGCAGCCTGCCTCCTGGAAGGAAGAGCAGGAGAGCTCAAAGGGGAAGCCCCAGGACCCGCAGGCAGCAGACCTGTCCCCCAGGGCTCCCTTCCCTGGGAAGCCTGCGTATTCCCCCGTATTCCCCGACCCTGACTTGTTTGGGTCTCAATGTGGACTCTGGAGAAATCGCTAAGCGTGGTCTGCAGCGGACCTGCACTGGTTTTCAGGAAGTGGAATCTCTGTTAAGGTTTGGAAGAAGGCAAGGGGACTCCAAGATGCCCCCCCCCTTCAAAGTGCCCTTTCGATTTTTTTATTTAATCACTATTTACTTATTGAGAGACGGAGTGCTCCCATCCACTGGTTCCCTCCCCCAAATTCTCACAATTGGAGTGGGGGTGGGGGGAGGTTGGGACTGGAGAAGGAGAGGAGGGAGGGGGCTGGAGGCCAGACCTGGAAGCCTCGAACGTGATTCGGGCCTCCCAAGTGGGTGACAGAAACCCAAACACTTGAGCCATCGCCGCTCCCCGCTCCCTCCCAGGCTCTGCATCGGCAGGAGTCAGGAGCCAGAGCTGGGGACTGACCCCGGACTCCCGTCTGGGACTCAGGCGTCTTAGCTGCCCTGCCTTTTCACCTCTGTTTGCAGAGACCACTCCAGAGACAGCAGCTCAGGGCCCCTGAAACCAGGGTTGGCCGGGCCAGCGCTCTCCTCAGAAGCCACACTTTGTTTGTCCTGTGGGCAGCCAGGGACCTGATTGCCTGTGACTCACTATTCCTGTGTTGCCTACACAGCACACACACGTCAAGGTCTAGAATGGCAAGTGCTCTCCACCCCCTCCCCCTCCCCCGCGCCCTCTCGCCTCTGGCTCAGACACTGTGTGTGCGTGCGTGCGTGCGTGCGTGCGTGCGGGAATGTGTGCAGCTCCACCTCGGGCTTGGGAATTGGGAACCCTCGGCTCCTCCCTCCCCTGAAACACAGAGCATGACCCAAAGAATGAAGTTTTCCATTTCTGACCCTGGCAGGGGTCAAAATGCTCCTGTTTCGCCATAGGAGCAGGTCCTTGGGCGTTGGCACTGTCCCTCCCTCCCCAAGTGGGCCACACGCACATCTGGTGCAGGGCCGTGTAGAGGAACACAGGAGCGTCATTCGGTGACCACAGCACTGCTATTAACATAACAATGCTGCCATTTATTGCGCACTGCCCAGGCGGGCTCTGTGCCGAGCGCTAGCACCCTGGGTCCCCCAACAACACTGCTGCTATTACCTCTACTTTATAGACGAGGAAAAGAGACCTACAGTGGCTCAGCAACCTGCCCAAGGCCGCACAGCTATTAAGTGTCCCAGCTGGGACCCCACGGCACTGTCGCTTCAAAGCCCTGTGTCTCTTTCCGGAAGTGGTGTCCCACCCCACCTGCGACCCTGACTCCTGCTGCTGCTGACTGCTCACCAGTACCAAGGGGGCTCGGTGGGGAGGGAGCATGGTGGGGGGGCTTGTCGCAAAGTGAGGTGCTCCCTGGGCTGTGGAGGCCTTGGAGAGGGGGATGAATGAACATTTTATCAACACAAATGTCATTGGCAGCCCCAAAACAAATAGTGTCCCACCCGGCTTGCTCCTTTATGAGGCATTCAATCAATAAAATGAGAGCAGAGCTCTGTCAGATTTATTGGCTGGGTTCAAACCGAACAGCTCTTCCACCCGCCAAAGGCTGGCTCGGGCTCTGCCTTTCCGTCCCGCCTCTGGCCGGCCCCCATTTTCCCCTGTGGGGCTACAATGGTTCATTGTTTGAGGCAGGCCTTGTGAGAAGTCCTGTTTGTTTTGCCTCTTATCTTATCAGCCCCAGAGCCACAATGGCCCAGGTGTACTCACCATTTTACCATCAGGTGAGAGGAGATTGTGGCCTGGGTCCAGGCTGGCTGGGGAGACTTGCTGTAAAACCGCCTGGCTGGTCACCATGGCGCTGTTGCCATGGTGACTGATGGTTGAGGAGGAAGTGACCTCATTGTTTCCTTGCTGGCTGTAGCGCACTCCTGCAAAACAATACAGACCCCACAGGGAACATTAGTGTCACCTGGACCCAGGAAACTGACTCAGCTCCCCTGTGTTTTCCAGGGTGGATGAGGAGAAAATCAAGTTGCTCTGGGCTTCCCTGTCCACCTGTCCATCAGCTGTCCTCCTCTGGGCTGAAGATGCTACGGTCTCTGCTTTCATTCTAGAATGGAAGCGCCATCCCGTTCACTGCCACGCGCCTGTGCCTCGGCACTTGGTAGCTGCTCACTAAACATCTAATGAATGAACGGGTAAGTTCTGTTTGCCACTGCTTCAGCGCCGTTCTTCCAGGATTTAGGGGCCGAGCTTGGCCTTCCTCTTCCCGGCTGCAGTATTTGATTTTTCCCAAAGCTTTCCAGCAATGTTCCCCTGGCAGCCCCAGTCCTGTGGGACTGCAAAGTAGAGGTAACCAACTTTACAAAGAGGAGGTACTTGTCTGGGGACTCCAGGAAGAACCATGGCTTATGCATCTGTGACACTTACCCCTATTTTTGGCCAATCCTGAGGCTAAGGGACACAGACAGCTCAAGACAGGGACAGGGCTGGGGGCTGTGGCTCTGGAACTCACATCCCTTCAATGGAGTCTCGTTTGGCTGACTTCTTGGACACAGGGAAAGGCATGCCTGCTGGGCGGTGGGGTAGGCAGCACACACAGGTGGGAGGTGGGTACTCAGTTTGTCCTGCAAGGGAGGGCGGGAACCAAGCAGGTGGATGACCTCGCCCTCCTGTCTCCCTCTTGCTCAGGAACCCAAGCAGAGCTCTGTTCTCAGTGGAGGGAACGTGCTGGACAGGGACCGGCAGGAAGCGGAAGGGTGCAGAACCCAGCTCCGCTTTGCAGAGGTTTCAGCATCCTGCTTGACGTGCCCACGACACAGCCCAGGAAGAGCTTGGGGGTACTCGGTGGCATCGCACCCTAAACTCAGAGCTTAGGAAGACAGTGTCCTTGGTTCTTGCCACGGCTTGTCAAACAGGTGTGGGGGACCCAAGCCTCCAAGGAACAGAGACCAAATGCGCTTGGCATGGAGTCATTTGGAAACCTGGGGCAGCTCTTTGGCTATACTTCTCCTTTTGCCCAGTTTTCCAGGAAGAACCATCCTTGAACTCTGTTCCCCACCCTGCCCCGCCTCTTTCTAGAGCAGGTTACAGAAGCCCCCAGGAGCCAGGCCAGCGGCCCTACCCAGCAGCCTCTAACTCACCAAGCTAGAGCTCACTGAGGAGAGATCCAAGCCAGCATCCCCTGGCTTTACCCAAGGTTCTCAGGTCCTAGGACGCCAGAGGGCCAGGGAGAGAACAAACGAACGCTAAAGCAGGCTTCGAACCTGCAAGAGCACCTGGTTTGACTAGGAAGGGGCTTGTTGCTTGCTCTATAGGCTTTTTCTGCTGGTGGGTGTCCTGGTTTGTTGATGCAAGGGGCTCTGGGAGGATAGTGTCAGGACCGGAATTCACTGGTTATTGGCCTTGGGCACTACAATGTGGGGGAACAGCAACAACCATGAAGTTAAAGGAGGCGTGGCTTCCACATCTCCCAGTCAAAAGCTCTGCCCTGGCCTTCTTCCTCTGCACCTGTCTGCAGCTCCTGGGTCTCCTAGTCACCACCCTCTATTCCATCCATTGGATTCAATGAAGTTCTGTTTCTCCACTCCAGTGGGATGCTTCTGATAGTTCAAAGAGCTGTGATAGAGAAGAGGAAAGAGATGCGAACCCTGTGAACTCCAAAGGCAGAGTGAGGTCCAATGGAAAAGAGAAAGGCAGATTTCTGATGAATAAAAGGAAGAATTTCCCAATGAGGTGGGGGTGGTGGGAAGGCTGGGGAGGGGGGAGGCTCTGGGAGTAGACAGACTTGGGTTCACATCCTGACTTTGCTCTTAGGAGATGTGTGATCATAGGAAGGTTACTTTCCCTCGCCTTGATTTACAGCCATAAAGTATGGAGAATATGTGCCCCATGGGGCTCTTTGGGGGTACAGGTAACATTGACACAGCTCCTAGCATGATGCCAAATAACTATTGGCACCATAGGCAGGGATGCGGGGAGCAGGAGAGCTGGCACAGGGGTGTATCCCAAGACATATGCTCTAGGGTATGCCAATTCTAGACAACTTCAGGCAGGTCTAAGCACTGAGTAGCCTTACCTTTCTATAACAAGCAGTTTCCACAGGACCCTGCCCTTTGCAGAACCCCTGATGCCTTGTCCTGCAAGCAACCTGGGGAGAGGCCTGGCCACTGCCCTCCCCCACCTTTTGGAGGAACTGGATGGCATCCTGTTTGTCTCCTGCTTTTTCTGATTCCTTGACCAGCTGTTTGCCTTCCCAGGATGCTCTGCTCCTGGGAGAGCGGTGATAACACCGGGAGTCAGGTGTGTTGTCACCTCCCAGCCAGTCCCCATCATCGATTCTGCCTCAAGTCAAACAGTCTCTGGATTTAGCCTATTTAATTTGGCTGCAGGAAATGGGCCAGCCCTCTGATGATCAAATATAGGTCACAGGGAGGCTTCTCCCCTACCACAGGCTGCGCAAGTATTTATTTAAAAATAATTAACCCAGGACATCCGCAGGGAACAAAAGCCTTCTTCACCGGCAAGAGAGCGTCCAGGGCTGTCTGTGAGAAGCCCGGCAGTGGAGCCCAAGGGTGCTATGGTTTTTATACTGGGGCTTTGGTCCCAACAAAACTTCATTACATGAAAAATATCACGGGGGCCAGCACTGTGGTGCAGCAGGTTAAAGCCCTGGCCTGAAGCCTCGGTATCCCATATGGGCACTGGTTCTAGTTCTGGCTGCTCTTCTTCCAATCCAGCTCTCTGCTATAGCCTGGGAAAGCAGTAAAAGATGGCCCAAGTGCTTGGGCCCCTGCACCTGCGTGGGAGACCCAGAAGAAATTCCCGCCTCCTGGTTTTGGATTGGCACAGCTCTGGCTGTTGTGGCCAATTGGGGAGTGAGTGAACCATGGGATGGAAGACCTCTCTCTCTCTCTCTGCCTCTCTCTGTAACTCTTTCAAATAAATAAAATAATCTTAAAAAAAAAAAAAAAGAAAAATATCACAGAGGAGCTGCTCTGTTTAAAGACAGGTGGGCCCAGACCTTCAAAATTCCCTTTAAAACCTCTGGCTGGGAGCCGGCATCATGGCGCAGCAGGTGAAGCTGCAGCCTGCATTCCCATCCAGGTGCTGGTTTGTGTCCCGGCTGCTCCACTTCTGATTCAGCTTCCTGCCAATGCACCTGCAAAAGCAGCAGAGGATGGCCCTGGTGCTTGGGCCCTGCCATTCACACAGGGGACATGGATGTTGTTCCTGACTCCTGGCTTTGGCTTGGCTGAGCCCTGGCATATTGCAGCCCTGTGGGGAACCAGTGGATGGAAGATTTCTCTTTCTAACTCCGCCTTTCGAAGAAATCAATCTTAAAAACAAAAACAAAGGAAAAACCCTCTGGTTGGAGGCAAACATTGGGTGCAGTGGTTAAGATGCTGCTTGGGACGCCCACATCAGAGTGCCTGGGTTCAAGTCCCTCCTCCACTCCCAATTCTACTTCCTGCTAATGCATACTCTGGGAGGCAGCAAGCAACGGCTCAAGTACATGGGTCCCTGGATTAAGTTCCTGGCTCTTGGCTTGTGTCTGTCTCTGTCTCTTATTTAAAGGATGATTTAACTTCAAAATTAAATTGAAATCTCTGGCTAAGGACTAGAGACCTGGCTGGGAATGAGGAGATTATGTTCATCATGACTTTGCCACCCATTTAATGGGTGAGCTCCAGCTTCCTCAACTATAAGCCAGAGAACCACCTGCTGCAGGGAGAGGACCGCTGTTCTGAAGCCTTTTGGGAGCAAGCCCTGGAGTGCTCATCAGACCAGAGTCTTCCTGCCCCAGGGTCTAGGCAATTATGAGATCCCAAGCAGCCGCTGGTCTTACAGGGAGGTGTGTGTGTGGGGTGGTGCAGGGTGTGTTACGGGTGTCTGCAGGTGACACCATAAATAGGTGCTCATGTTAGAGGAAGCAGAGACCAAGTCCTTTCACATTTCACAAACTCAGAAGAGCACTCGAAATGAGAACAAAAGTGGAGCTCAGAGTGTGGGGACCTGAATTGAAATCACGCCTCATCACCTAAGAGCTGTGTGACCTTGGGGAAGTTGTTTAACCCCCCTGAGCTTCCATTCCTCATCATTAACAATCCCCACCCTTAGGTCATTGGGAAGAAATCTGACCGAGTTAATGGTTTGAAATTCCCAGACCATGCTTAACACATAACAGTTGCTCAAAACACATCCTCCTACTTTGGGACTGCTTTTGTCTCAAAGACACATCGAGGCAGGCTGAGAGCATAGAGCTTACTGAGCATCTGCTAAATGCCTTGCACCAGACTAAGGAGCCTGCCCTAAGACTAGAATGAGGCTTCCTTCCTCCTTCACCCGGGCCTGCAAGCTATGAAAGTGAATGCCTATGGGGCCGGCGCTGTGGCATAGCAGGTAAAGCTGCCGCCTGCAGTACCGGCAACCCCTATGGGCACTGGTTCAAGTCCCAGCTACTCCACTTCCGATCCAGCTCTCTGCTATGGCCTGGGAAAGCAGTAGAAGATGGCCCAGGACCTTGGGCCCCTGCACCCACGTGGGAGACCTGGAAGAAGCTCCTGGCTTCATTACAGCCATCTGGGAGTGAACCAGCAGATGGAAGATCTCTCTGCCTCTGCCTCTCTGTAACTCTTTCAAATAAATAAATAAATCTTTAAAAAAAAAAAGAAAAAAGAAAAAAAGAAAGTGAATGTCCAAGGTTTAACACTGACTGGCCAGAGCTGCCGGGCTAACAGCCACAGGGACCCCAGAAGAAATGACCATGGCAGACGGTGGCAGCATCTTCCATCATGTCCAGGCTCAAACCACTAACTGGCCACATCCCCATCACCAGCCATCGGAACTACAACAAGCAGCAGAAGGCATCCCGGGAGGAGTCTAGAGACCCTGTGAGGTCATCTCCGCTCCCCATTCCCAGGCCTCA